GCCCCCGGGCCCGGCCCAGGCCTCTCCACGTGCTCAGGCCTCTCACGTCCCGTCCCGGAAGTCCCGCCCCCTGGCCCTGTCCATTGGCGGCGAGGCCGGCGTGACGTCACGGCCGCGTTCCCCGGATGCCGAGCGGCAGGACAATGGGGGCGCCCGGCGGGGTCGCGCCTTCCCCCCACCTCCGCGGGGAAAAATGGATTCGCCCACTCCGCGCCCCCCGATAATGAGCTCGGCCGGGAAGGGGTACCGCGGAATGGGTTCGCCCATTTGCTAACACCCCCCCCAATCCCGTGGATGGATCCGCCCAGGAGAAACCAACGCGCATCCTCGCGCCGCATTACCCCCCCCCCCGGGCCGGATGGTTCCGTCCTGTGTCCCCCACCAATTTTTTTTTTTACTGGACTAGACCGTCGTCGTCCCCCGCAAAATATCCCCCCCCCGGGTAGAATTGACTCTTCCACTCCTCCCCCCGCCATAGAATCAGATAGTTCCGTCCGGAGCCAGGCCGCATCCAGATCTCCCACCGTCACAAAATGGCGTCGCGCCCCCCCCCTCGGGCGGGGATGGTTCCATCCAGCCCCCTTCTCCGTGCCTCAAACTGCGCCCCCTCCTCCTTAGCGGGAATGGTCTCGACCACTTTTCTCTCTCCCCACCCCTCCCCCCGCGCCGGGCCGAGATGGTTCCGCTCGCGTCCTCTGGGGAAGCGGTTTAAATGGACTCGCCCATCCAACCCCCTCCTCCCAAAAAAGAAAGGAAAATAAGAAAAATAAGGGAATGGATTGGCCCATCCACCGTCCAAACGGGGATAACACCACCCCCTCCGCAAGAATGGACTCGCCCCCCCCCCAAATGGATGGTACCGCCCATGGAACGCGTGCGTGGGGGGGGGGGTCGGTTCGCGGCCTAAAGGCTACATTCCTGTAGTGGGCTCGCCCAACTCCCCGCTGCCGCGGGATAGTTCGGCCCGTGGAACGGCCGCGAGCAGGGAGTAGAACCCCGCGGTGGTTGCGCCCGCCGGTCCCCCCTTTCGGGGGCTGGGAAATGGTACGGTCCGGTGAGGCCTAGCCGGGGCCGCGCGCGCACTCACCGGCTCTCCAGACTCGCAGACATCCTGGGCAGGATCCTGCCCCCACCCGCCTCGCCCTGCCTTATAACCCCCGGCAAGCCCCGCCCCCGCCCCGCTCCCATTGGCCGCCCGCCCACTGGCCCCGCTCCCATTGGCTCCTACCCCCTGAGGACCCGCCTGCCGGCCCCGCTCCCATTGGCCGCCCGGCGCCCGGCTCCCGGCCGGTGACGTCGAAGCCGATTGAAAAGAGGCGTGTGACGTCAGGGCGCCCTGCTCCCCGGGGAATTGGGCGGCGGCCCCACCCGCGAGCGGAGTGAGTCAGGCGCCAACACGCCGGGCGGCGATTAGCTGGAGCGCACGCCCGTCAGGACTCGGCCAGCCAATGGGCGAGAGGGACGGCAGGAAGGGGCGGGGCTGCGGACCGGATGTGAGGCCGGCAGGGAGCGCACACGTGGGTGGCGACAGGCTGTGGCCTCCCTTTGTGCGCGTCGCGCTCCCGGAGTTGTGACCCCTCCCGGCACCCGTACCCCAGCCCCCTCTTACCAGCTACAGGGTCCCCATTGGATCCCCTCCTACCAGCCCCCACTCAGCCACTGGATCCCCCCTGGATCCCCTCCCCCAGCCCCCACCCAGCCACTGGATCCCCTCCCCCAGCCCCCACATCCCCTCCCCCACATCCCCAGCCCCCACATCCCCTCCCCCCAGCCCCCACCCAGCCACTGGATCCCCCCCTGGATCCCCTCCCCCAACCC